AAAAAAAAAAAAAAAAGTGAGCTAGGTTTGATCTATAGGTGAGAGAATATTAAAAAAAAGACAATGATAGACTATTTGGATAATATAATTTAATAACAATATTTATTTACATCTAAGCATACAAAAACATCTCAGAAGAATCTAAAATAGTCTCCAGAGTGACAAAGGCATAAAACAAACAAAGTCATTGTTAGCAAACTAGAAAATAACAGGCTCATTTTTAAGGTCACTTTTTGTTCCTATTTTAAAACTATCTGAAAACAGAAAGTCTGGGAAGAAAATGTTAACTTTACAATAAAATGTAATAAATTGATATTACTCTCAAGTTGCATTTTGACTGAGCAAGCCATCTTTAGAAATCTAGTATGAAATAGTGTCTGTACAGAATAAACCTTCAATGTCTAAGAAACCATTCACCTCTACCAGTGACAAAGCTAGTCACAGAGGCTAAGAATTGTTCTCCAAATATTCTATTCCTTATCATAAAATGAAGGGAATGAAAGTGTTAAACAGTGTGAATATCAGCTATTACAGGTGCCTCACACCTATAAACAGCAAGTAGCACTTGGAGGCCAAGGGGAGTGATATGCATTCTGGGTCCGTCTGGGCAAGAGAATGAAACCTTGTCTCAAAAACAAAACAGCAATTTCCAAATACAGATAGAACAGTCAATGATATAAAAGTTCCCATAGATGACAGGAAACCACATGGACCTCAACAAAGGGCAAACTGGAGTAGAGATAACGCAGTGAGCACAATACAGAGCAGGTTCAGGTTGGCCTTGTCCAATTCTAAGATAGTAAGAAAAGAAATGACACACTCTACATATAGGGATAGCAGCAACTGTGACCTGAGACTGTAAAACCCAGAACTGCTTAAGAATAGTCAATTAATACACCCCAACTTCTCCCTGCCGCTACGCAGCTAAAATTTATACCCTCCCACCCAGCTGAGTCAGTCAAATGAAGGAACTGTTCCAGGCCTAGTGTACACCTGGCAACCACTTGGAATATGGAAGTTGTCTTGCATTTTCCTACAATCCATATACCATGGATTCCCAAGAGAATAGAGAAGCTTGATGACTAGAGTATTCTCTGCTTAGAGAAAACCATTTTTCTCCAGTACTGGTAGTCACATGGCTGGAAGAAAACTGCATTGTCCAAAAGACTTGGATGGAGCTTCCACTGTGAGCCTGAATCTCTCTATATATGTTAGTTAAAGGCATGCAGAGTTCAGGAGAATGAATGAAACATACAGCTGATCTGTCAGCTGGCATTCCCAAAGTCAATCATATCTGTCAGAATGTACAGATCTAGATGGAGAGATTTCATGAAGTGTCAAGGTTGCTTGGCGAAGTACAGTATTTACAACCTAATATGCTAAGGACTGTCTCAAAGAGCTCCCACGTAAGTGGCAGGCCTGCAATGCATACCAGTTTCCTCCTTTAATATCTGAATGGCTTGGATTAAATCACTCACAATTCCAGAAAACCAACTCATCTAATGAGGGAGTTGGAGCAAGGCTGCTATATCATTTCTGTTAGTATCTGAGTAGGTGTAAATTGCCTAGGTATGCTTATCCTATGGTTGCTTTGGGGGGCGGGGGAGAGGAAGGGCAGGGGATGACGAAATGTCAGAGGAGGCAAGAGGACACCTTTTAGAATCGGTTCTTTCCTTCTTTTGTAGGCAAACACTTTTATCCACTGAGCCCTTACCAGTCCAGTAATGCAGTGTTTTTAGAATCGGTTCTTTCCTTCTTTTGTAGGGTCTTAGGCACTACCTTGGATCATCAGACTTATATGGCAAACACTTTTATCCACTGAGCCCTTGCCAGTCCAGTAATGCAGTGTTTTAAAAGAATCGAGGACAGGGATTAGATACAGCACAGATAGTGTGATTGATATACCCAGTGCAGACTCCATTGGAGAAAAGGGAATTTTCCTTTGCCAGTGGGTATCAACTGCACACAGCTTCTTAGTTGGGGGTGGGACCCAAATCTACTTCCCTGTCAGTGCTGGGACCCCATGTGGCCTGAACCTGTGCACACCTTGTACATGTTAATCTCTGTGAGTTATAAGCTACCAGTCCTGTATCTGGAGGACAATTTCCTTTCAGTAATCCAGTACCTCCGGCTCTTAGAATCTTTCCATTTTCTCTTCCACAAAGATAGATCCCTAAATCTTGAGGGGAGGGGTGTGATGAAGACATCACATTTAGGACACAGCGTTCCAAAGTCTCTGCACATTGTCTAGCTGTGGGTCTCTGTGTTAATATTCATTTACGACAAAAAGAAGCTTCTCTGATGAGGGTTAATAAAGGCAGCCTGGTGTGGTTTTAAATTTTTGAGACAGTTTTATTAGATTGCCCATGGCTGAAGCAAAATCTGGCCTTAAACTTGTAATCCTTTTGTCTTAGTTTCCTGAGTGCTTAAGATTACAGGCATAGGCCACCATACCCAGCTTACACGTTTTTGTTTTGTTTTGTTTTGTTTTTAAGACAGAGTCTTTCTCTGTGAGTTCAAGGCCAGTTTGGTTTACAAAGTGAGTCCAGGACAGTCAAGGCTACACAGAGAAACCCTGTCTTGAAACCTCTCTCCTCCCAAACAGATAGTCTATGTGGCGCCAGCGATCTTCCTGCTTTTATTTGCCAAGTGCTACGATTATAGTTGTGCACTACCATGTCCATAAGGGATGTTTTTAATTGGAAGAGTGTTCTGACCACATTTTTCTTATTTACTAATTTGTTCAGGGGTGGTAGTGGTCAGAAAGTAAACACCATGCTTTCTTTATTTTTTGAGTTAACATCAGGTTTTAAACTACTTCAGACCTGCATATTTAATTCATGTGGTTTCTATGGAAAACTGTTAAGACAATAAAGTTAATCTATTAGGAGTTATATTTTAAATAAGATACTACCCAAGGAATCCCAACAAAGATAATTTAAGTTTCAAAATGGGCCTTGAGAGACACTAATCATATGTAGTCTAAGGCTTTAGGCATGCACAACCTGTAGCTTATCAGCCACAGCATGCAGCACGCAGCAAGCAGCTGCATGCAGCCAAGAGCAGCTTTGAATAATGTGCAGCCAAAAATGTAAACTTACAGCAGTATGAGATTAGGGAGATTGCATGTTTCTGAGTGTGAATTTTTTAGAGGTAATTAAAAATGGACATGTCTGGTGCCAAACCCATTTCCCTGAGCTATAAATATTTTAGAATGACTTACTTTGTTACTGTCACATCAGGTATTCTATTTGATGCTGATGTTTGGCCAAATTTTAAGATTAACATTTATCTTGGACATTTTTGTAAAACTTTTTCTTTATTTTATTTTATTTCTTTGTCCTCATAAAATTCTTTGGGGAACAAAGTAATTATTTCATCTACCAAAATACTGGCATTTGTTATCAGAAACCAGAACAGTCATTTAAAAAGAAACGAACTTAAGAGAGAAGAAAGTCAGGAACTAAGCTATTACTCCACGTACAAATGAGAGCAGGATGCACCCTCACTGCCCATCTGATCCCTTGTCTAACTACACACAGCACTTTCTGACCCACAGACATAAAAATAAAAAGCAAAAGGTCATTAATCAATTTGCTATTTCTAGCTTCTAGGAGAAAAACAGCCATACAGTTTAAGGATTAAGTAACTAATTTCCTAATCAACTAAACTGTGCCAAATTAGCTTAAAGAACTAGAGATGAATTGAAGTTCACTGACCCTTAAGAATGCCAAAGAAAAGAACCTTTAAAATAAGCAAGTAGAAATGGCCATCCTAGCATTTTTTGGTATTCAATTATCTATAAGCTACTTGTGTTGACTAGACATAGATATATCAAAATGCACTGCTGTCAGGAGAACTCACTGTATGCTGGTATGATAGAGTGCATATAGGAAGAAAGGGAATTCCTAATAGAGCTCACAGAAACTAGTTACTCGCAGCAATCAGGAAATATATATAGGGCAGCAGTAACCCCTCAGCATCACAAGTATGACATCACATCTAACGAGAAGAAGCAAGAGCTTTCTGCAATCGGAAAAGGCCAAATGTGTTCATCTCATCCATCCTTTCTTATAACATAGAGGCCCTAGCCAATGCAGTAATAAAGTTACACACATTGGCAAGATGTAAAACTATGTAGAAATCTATGTAGAAAGAAGAAATCAACATTAAAATAATAATGGAATAAGCCACTATAGCACAGACCACTATACATAAACAATTCCTGGTGCATCAAGTAGAATTTGAAATTAAATACAAAATACTACTAATCCCCACAAAGACATTATTTACTACCATATTACAAGATTTAAATGTGGAAAACTATAAAATTTTGATAATACAGTCCATGTTTGTATACAGTACTTGTTTGTATACAGTAAAACTCAATAAAAATAGATTGCTTCTTCTCAATTTGATCTAGAGGTTCGATACAGTCCCAATCCAAACCTCGCAAATTATCTTGCAGGGCTTTAAAGTTTAGACAAACCGTAAGAAAAGACCTGGGTTAATAAAATAGTCTCCAAAGAGACCCATGGAGACAAAAATCATCTGAGCTTTGACTAAAGGGCAAATGCAATGCTGTAGAACACAGTTTGTTAATAAGCAAATGGACAAATGAAGGCACTGACCTTAGACTTTCCACAAATTGTAATTCAAAACAGGTCAGAGACCTAACTGTAAAATGTAAAGCATAAAACCCCTACAGTATTTAAAATAAGAGATACACCATGGTATGAAAAACAACAATAGGGGCTGGACAGATGGCTCGGTGTTTAAGAGCACTGGCTGCTCTTCCAAAGGACCTAGGTTCAAGTCCCAGCCCCAACATGGGAGCTCACAAACGTCTGTAACTCTAGTTCTAAAACTTCCAACACCCTCACACAGACAAAACACACATGCAGGCAAAAGACCAATGCATGTGAAATAAAAATAAAGAAATTAAAGAAAAAAAAAAAGGAAAACCCACTAAGGCATAGGATTTTGCTCAAAGTAAAATCTCTGCCAAGGGCTATTTGACCTCCCCACCCCCAAGGGAAGAGCAGTCCTGCTAGGCCACAGAGGAGGACTTTGTAGCCAGTCCTGAAGATACCTGATAAAACAGGGTCAGATGAAAGGGGAGGAAGTCCTCCTCAATCAGTGGACTTGGAAAGGGGCAGGGAGGAGATGAGGGAGGGTTTGGGAAGGAATGAGGGAGTGGGATACAGCGTTAATAAAATGTAACTAATAAAAATAAAAAAATTAAAAAAATTAAAAAAAAAAACAAAAAAACTCTGCCAAGGACACTGTTTAGAGAACAAAAGGATCACTAATATACTGGAGAAATATTTCCAAAGACACCTGCTAAAGGACTCAACAGTAAGAAAAGTTCAATTCAAAACTGAACAACTTTTAAGTCAGAGTTGTTGTACATGCCTATAATCAGGGAGGTGGAGGCAGGAGGTTCAGCTACATCAACTTTAAGGTCATGTTCTACATGACAGCCTGTAAAAAGAGAAACCACTCCAGGGCTGGAGGGATGGCTCAGTCATTAAGAGCACTGGCTGTTCTTCCAGAAGACCCAGTTTCAATTTCCATACCCACATGGCAGCTCCTAACTTTTTATAACTCCTGTCTAGGGGATCCAATAACCTTATACAGACAGGCATGCAGGCAAAACAGCAAAGCACATAAAATGCAAATAAGTACATTAAAAAAAAGAAAGATATAGAGCTTCCAAAGGTCCTGAGTTCAATTCCCAGCAACCACATGGTAGCTCACAATCATCTGTACTGGGATCTGATGTTCTCTTCTGGCATGTAGGTGTATATGCAGGTCGAGCACTGTATACATAAAATAAATATAAAAAATAAAAACAAAGGAAGAAAGAAAAAACAAAGACACCCAAAAAGATAAACAAAGAAATACTTCCAAAGACATCTGTTAAAGGACTCTTAGAACTCAACAGTGAGAAAAGTTCAACTCAAAAGTGAACAACTTTTAAGTCAGAGTGGTAGTACATGCCTATAATTCAGGAGGTGGAGGCAGGGCACACTCCTGTACTCCCAGCATTCAAGGAGGCAGAGGTAGGAGGATCTCTGAGAATCTCTGTGAGTTCAAGGGCAACCTGGTCAATCAAGGCTATACACAGAAACTCTGTCTTGAGAAAAAAAAAATCTGAAAACAGTAAGTTTAATGTAATAATGAAACATACACAGCAAATAAAATGGATTTTTATAGAAAATAAAAAAAAAAAAAGATAAACAAAAAAGCCTAAGGAAGGAATCTGAAAAGGCACTTTACATATGTAGATGGGCATAAAATCCATGCTTAACGCCATGTTATTTGGGGAGTGAACTTAGACTACTGTACCTATTGGAACAGCTATTACTGTATATCAGTGAACAGCTGGGGAGGGTGGGACAGCACAGAGCTCGCTCACTGCTTCGGAAGTGCGCACTAGTACTCTGTAGGACAGCTTGGCAGTTTCTTAATAAAATCTGATCCCAGTGTCCAATGACAAAAACATTCAATTTACATTATTAAGTGATCTGAATATGCTACACTCGTGTATTCCAAACATACATACGACAGTGAAATAATCTGTCTGCTTCTATAGTCACAGATTCGTATCATTTTACACCTTAGCGCACAACACCAGAAAGAACTTTGACATGAGCAACAGACGGTGGACAGCAATAAGGTGCCAACACTGACCTACTGACTGTAACACGTGTTGAACTTGTGCTAACAGAAAGCTGGAGGTGCAGCTGGGGGTGGCACACAGGAACTCTCACACTTAACATTCATTTCTGCCTAAAATTTATCATTCATTCATTCAAACATAAATATTCACAGCTGCTAACATCCAGTTACATAATCTTCATACTCTAGATGTTTGCCCCTTTCTAGACACAAGTAAGATTTTGTTCCAAATCTCCAATACTTACTAGTTGTACTGTGTGATGGGTTCTATATTCATCTTCACTCTGAAAACGCTGTTGGAACTTTTCATTGTGTTTTGCAATACAAACTTCCTAGAAAAAGATAAAATGTATTTTAATTAAAGTGAGACTTAGAAAGACCACAGCAATGGTTTACCTGACTCATTTTAATCAGAAGCACAAGAGCTAAGAGGACTAGTTTCTCTTTCCTTTACTACAGACCACTAAAACCTACTCTTTCTACGTCTGTGAAGGGTCAGAACTGGTCACGTTAAGAGCAGCGTTAAGAGTACCTCAGTTCACTCTCTCAACATCCCAACCTTACTAAGTAAAGCTCGCTAAGTAAGGCTACAGACACTGATGGCTTTCAGCAGAACCTCTCCTTTAAATGCACTGCACGGGATCCTATAGCCACATCCTTTAGCAGGTCATCCTTAGAATAGCTAGAGCACAACCATTCAAATGTATGTAGGAGGGCAACTCTAAGAAAAATACAAATGGTTAATGTAAGGGCTGAGAATAGGGAACGGCTATTAGTCTTAAAAGTGAGTGAGGGGACGGGAGAGATGGCTCAGTGGTTAAGAGCACTGGCTACTCTTTCAGAGGTCCTGAGTTCAATTCCCAGCAACCATAGATGGTGGCTCAACCATCTATGATGAGATCTGTCACCCTCTTCTGATATATATGTAATAAATAAATAAATAAATAAATAAAATCTTTAAGAAAAAAATGAGTGAGGATAAATCATATTACAGTTTGAATTATTAAACATGGACCAAGGATGAAATAATGAATGAAAACAAAAGTTCAATACTTTTTTATTTCTGAGGTAGGCTTTCTTGGCTGAGACACGCCCCCTTCTTGCTTCCAGCTGCCGTGCCTTCTGCTGCAGTTTCTGTAGCTCCTCCCTCTGTGCATGCACAGATGCCACCATCTCTTCCTTCTCCAGCATGGCCTCCATGCTCTCGTAAGTGTCATAGTACACCACTTCATCTCTCTTTTCTGTCACAGAAATCGTGGTTAAGAATGAGCGTCTTCATTAAGCAGTGATTAAAGGTAAGGAAATAGGCCTCAAACCAAATTATGCAAAATGTTCAGCAGTGTCTGGTACATAGTAAGTGTACCATACTTTACCCATGCCAAACTGCAGAAATTCTGATTCTAGATGAAGCATCCCTCAACAAAGTAGGTATGCTACAAAAACACTAAAAAACAATATGCAGCCAGAATTGTTGAGTTTACAAAAACCATTTGAGTTCAAGAACTTCTTTAAAATATATATATTTAAATATTTTTTCTTTTAGTCTTAGGAGAAGCAGTTGGGATCCATGTACACTTTTTCTACATCCTCAGTCTTTTGTAGACTTCTGTAGCTCAGTGCACACACACCATACCTGAGATAAGTCTTTTGATGCTCTCTAGTTGTGCAGTCAATAGTAACTCTTCACACTTCAAGATTTCAAACTGTACTTCATACAACTGGAGTTGCAGATCATAGTAATCCGATTCCAGTTGATCCAACTGAGTTATAGCTTCTGTACCACCCTGTAAACTTTGCATCTGCGGGGAACATAACAATACTATTAACTGGTGGAGACAAGAAAGAAAAAAAATTCAATTAGAGAGTAATACTAAGTCCCCAAAGAAACTGCTTTAGGAAAGAATTGAATGCTGGGCAGTGGTGGTGTACACCTTTAATCCCAGCACTTGGGAGGCAGACAAATCTCTGAGTTTGAGGTCAGCCTGGTCTGCAGAGTGAGTTTCAGGAAAGGCAAGACCACAGAACATATCTTAAAAAAAAAAAAAAAAAAAAAAAAAAAACAACAAAAACCAAAACAAACAAACAAAACAAAAGAACGGAAGAGGAAAGATGGAGACAGAGAGAGACAGACAGAGAGAGAGAGAAGCAGGAAAAGTAAAAATGGAAATCAGACTTCTGAGCTGCCTGTGGCACTGACAATGCAGAAGACCAGGAGTCTGAGCTGGCCTGGAGCATGCAAGCCTAGTGACACAGGCTTGAAACTTCAGCTAGCTACTCAGGAGGTAGCTGAGTTTCCCCTTCATCACATTTGAAGTAATCAACTAAGGAGAAAACAGGATTCAGAAATTACTCCCTACACTATAAATTCCAGCAGAAGCCAAAAGAATAGCTTTTTTCCAGGAGCTCCTGAGATGGAAAAGATGAGGCTTCCCATGTCAGACCATAAGTACTGTTCCAAGAATATTTCTTCCAGAATATAGTACCACAGTTGTGGCTACTTTAAGGTTGTCTTTAGATGCCCCAGGAGGTCCCTTGTGTAGAGGTCAATGTGACCTGGAGATCCTGGTGGCTTCGAGTAACTGCAGAAGTGACTACAAGGGCCAAAGGGGAAGAAGAGAAAGAAATGTTTAATGTCTCACTCATGTGTATCACTTGGGTCCAGGGCAGGTATCTGACCACTGCTTTAGGAAAAGTCTACAGCAGAAAGATAGGGCATTCAATATAGTCAATATATTACTGCTGAATGATTCCTTCTGTCTTAAAGGTAATAGACACATTGAGAGCACCAAAATAAGTTTTAAACAAGATTTTGGATTTTGCTTTATAATCCAGATATTCACACAGATTACCCAGTAACTGGAATGCTTTTCTTCAGGCCTAACTTCCAATCCATTTAGTAAGACAAAAAGAAATGGTTGCGGTTTGGATCTAAACATGTAGTGGTGTACATTTAAAAACAACTCTGGCCAGGCATGGTAAGGCGTGCAGAATGGAGACAGAGGCAGGCAGACCTCTGGGAGTTTGAGGCCAGCCTGGTCTACATAATTGGTTTCAGGATAACCCAGCAGTGAAGTGAGACCCTGTCTCCAAAAAATAAAAATAATCCCATGAATTAAGTGTGGTCAAATTTTTAAATGAATTTCATAAAGTTAATTTAATAAATTATAAGCCATTAAGTGATCAAACAATAAATATAGAACCAAAAGAGCAAGCTCTCAGTTAGGGTAGCCCTTAGATATGGGAAAGGTAAAAACATGAAAAACTGAGGAATCTGAGAAGTGCTAATATATAAACAATCTGCCAATGATACCTACACACCTGGAGAAAATAAAAGTAGTCAGGATTATCTGTAATTTCACATCTCGCAAGCCTTTTAGAACTGAAAATTTTATTCAGTGTCTTTAATGTCAAACCTAATCTCTGAATCCATATGTAAGAAAATAACCTAAATTGATATTAAACTACTTATAGTACTTATTTTTTCCATTTAATGTAACCAGTTTCATCACCATTAAATCAATACTTCTCTGAAAATTATCTGTTCTGAATATCACCTTTCTAAAATCCTGATACACCTGAAATTCCTCAATAATAGAACACAGTCTCAATGAATTCAGGGATGTTTCTGAAATTTAAATACACACACACACACACACACACAGAACTAAAGAATGGAGTAGAGAAATGGCTCAGAGGTTAAGAGCACTGGCTGCTCTTTCAAAGGTCCTGAGTTCAAATCCCTGCAACCATATGGTAACTCATAACCATCTATGATGAGATCTGGTGACCTCTTCTGGTGAGCAGGTGTACATGCATGCAGAACACTATACATAATAGATAGATCTTATTGATGAAAAAAATAAATAAATAAATAAAGAACAACTAAGGAATGTCCCAGGTGGTGGTGGGACAAACTGTCAATCCCAGGTCTTGGGAGTTCCAGCACAGCCTCGTCTAAAGAGTGAGTTACAGGACAGCCAGAGCTACACAGAGAAACACTTTCTCAGATAGATTAGATAGATAGATAGATAGATAGATAGATAGATAGACAGACAGACAGACAGACAGACAGACAGGTAGAGATGAGTGAGCTAAGGAAGAACCTATAATATTTGAAATTTTCCCTTTCGGGGGGTATAAAAAGATGGCTCAGCAATTAAGAGTACATGCTGGTGTAGGTTTTCAGCATCCATATCAGGATGCTGACAACTCCTACTCCAGAAGATCCAATGCCCTCTTCTGGACTCCACAGGCACCTACACTTATATGCACATACCCACATATATGTACAAATAATTTAAAATAATAAAATATATCGTTTAAAAAATTTCCCTGGGGCTGGAAAGATGGCTCAGTGGCTAAGAACACTGGCAGTTCTTTCAGAGGATCCAGCATCAATTCCCAGCACCTACATGGCAGGTCATAAGTATCTGTAACTACAGTCTCAGGGGTCTGATACACTCTTCTGATCTACACAGATACCTAGCATGTTAATAGACAAATACATAAGCTATATAATCATAAAAATAAATAATGGAAAAAAATTTAAAAGCTTCCCTTTCTTGGGTAGCTCCTACAAAGATATGAGTTACACAGCAAAAAAAAAAAAAAAAAAAAAAAAAAAAAAAAAAAAAAAAAAAAAAAATTAAAGTAATACAAATAAACTTTTATAGTGGAACCTAGACATGTGTGTCTTGGAATATTTTGATTAAACAAATTAGCTTAAAAAAAAGTAACTGGCTTTTCCACTGTTTTAACCTATATATGACTCCACATTTTGTATGCTTATTGTGTGGAAAGGGAACTCTAGAACTTGGCATCTGCTTTTGAATTGAGAAGAGAAAGTAATGAATTTGTGTTCCGATGATAACACATTGTTACCCTAATATGAATGAGCCATGATGTAAACAGTAAAAAGTTTGCTTTTCAGTAACTTATATTAAAACTTTTTATCACTGTTTTATGACTGACTAATTTGTTTTCGTATTTTTTTTTCCTTATCTGTGAGAGGGGTCCTTCTTTCTTCCTTGATTCTATATATACTCTCTAAATACAGATGCTTTGGAAAAGGCTAAGTGGTAGAATACTTGCTTAGCATATGAGACCCTGGGTTTGATGCCCACTAAAGGATGGAAAAACATTACAAACCCAGTCTCCCTGCCTGAGGAAGGACTTCAATTTTCCATATTCTGCTTGGGAAATTGCAATGAAGGAAATGGTCACACACAAAAAAAACACCACTACAGTAGCAGCTTCCATGCTGAACACAACGACCCTGTGCCCACCACATCTAAGCTCCTGGAGCTTTCTGACATGGCCCACACAAAATGCCACATCATCTTTAACAGCATCCTCTGGTGAGCATTAAAATGTTAAAGGTGGATAAACAGCTTAGACATAGGAATTACATCTTTCTCCTCTTTGTAGTCCCCTCCACAATATTTATACAAAATGCCTAGCAGAATTAAAATAGTATTAGTTAACACTGTATCCTCCTTCTATGCCAGGCATTAGGCTAGTTGTTTCATACATGCAACATACATGGGATCATAATACTCAGAAACTAGATATTATCATTTTATAGAGAAGTAGGGAATAAGCTGGCATTAGTAAGACACACAGAGTTGTTCTGTTCAGCATGGCAGCTACTAGCTGCAAGTGGTATTTTTATTAAAATACCATTTCCTTCTTTGCAAGATGTTCTGATGGACAGTAGAAACAGGACCTTAAATAATCACGTACAATAATGTTCAATATTCCATGTATTAAAGTAAAACTGAAATAGAGAAAAATATACTAAATCATAATTTGCCTACTACATGCTATGCTTTAAGGAAAAAAGAAGTTAAGAAAGAAAGAAGTTGGCCTCAGACATACCATACTCAGGAAATCAAAAGGACCAATGGTTTAAATTCTCTGTGGTGAAAGATAAAATGCTGATAAGACTTTTTTACACAAAGGTGAGGAACTTTCTGGAGTTTTCTTATTCATCTTCTGTTAACCAGAAGACAGTTCACTGATAACCAAGCTGAAACCATGCTTTCTAAAACTGGTTTCATGACAGCACTAACTTTAGTATCTTCTACTTCAATTAATAACTATAAAGAAAACTTACACATATATCAAAAAGAAACAGTGTTCTACTGCTAAGATACTATGACCAAAGCAACTTTTATGAAAGGAAGCACTTAATTGGGGCTTGCTCATAGTTTCAAGGTTTAAAAGCACATCATGGTCAGGAAACATGGCAGCATGCAGGCAGACATAGTGCTGGAGAAATAGCTGAGATTACTAATCTGGATCTGCAGGCTGCAGGAAGAGAGAAACTAGGCCGGCCTTGGGTTTTGGAAACCTCAAAGGCCACCTCCTCATCCCCACCCCAACCCCACCACACTTCCTCCAAGACATCCCCTCCAACAAGGCCTATACCACTTCCTAATCCTCAAATAGTGTCATTCCCTGATGATTCAGCATTCAAGTAAGAGCCTATGGAGACCATTCTTTTTTAAGTCACCACAATCTTAAATACCAAATAGAGCACTGCTTAAGAGATTATTAACATTGAAGCATTAATTTGAAAATTGTATTTCAAGGTCATCATTAGCCTTCTGAAAAGCATCCCTAATTATATTAGTTCACCATTTTAATCTTATAATTTAATTTATATCAAGAATTTTGTTTTTAAAGTAACGTGAGTAAATAAACACGTGACTTGTTTAGAAGTAACAATAATTTTACTTTCTAACAGGTAATTTTCTACTACTTCAGTATCTTCCTTAGACAACACAAAAAGTTTTAGAACTGGATCACTTGGCCCTTTCTGTCCCTGTCCCCTCCCATTTTAAAATTCCATACTGACATTTTTTTTTTTTTTTTTTTTAAGAATAAATCTCCAGTGTTCAGGAAGCCAGCCTGTTCTACAAGGTAAATTCTGGCCAGCCAAGAATTTTTTTTCTTTCCTTGTCTTAAAACAAACAAACAAACAAACAAACAAACAAACAACAACAAAACCTCTAAAAGCACAGGGTAGTGCTATGTTACAAACAAGAGCCTTCAGGGGCAAAGCATTTGTTTGGAATGGGTTTAATACTTTAACTGTGCTCTGTTTTTCATGAGTAACATAGACATCTTAAATTAAGGCTATTATAACTGACACAGCACACCATCACAGTTAAATACATATAAAGTACAATGCCTATACTATATATACAACAAGCATAAGCAAGCCAAGAATAACTAACTGGCAATTTTTAAAATGCTTTGAAGAATTCAGACACATAATACAGGACTTTAAAAGCAGACTATTATAGTCATGGATGTGGTCTAGAAAAAATGACTACACAGACTCTCAAGCTCTGGAGCTATAGTTAGCCTCTTCTCCACACTGGAGCTTATTTATGAAGGTGTGGCATAACCTAGGCACCAACAGTGACATCAATACTGTACTTGGACATGTGAGAAAGAATAAGATGATAATGAAAAGGGCAACAAGGTTTTCTTAATGAAGACTGTCAAGAAAACCCTGTTTTGTTCCTGATATGGTCTTGACAGGACCAATTCCAACACAGTTTTATTACCTAAGACCTTTCCTAAAGTTCTGACAAGGAGACTTTTCTTTCAAAAGCAATGACATTCCACTCGCCATTTTGTTCCCAGAATTACTGTGAAATGCTATGTCTCCAGATCTTTTACAGGTGGCAACCTGTAAGTGGGTGCAATCACAAACATCTCTCAAAAAGGTGTAAAAATGGGCTACAAAGTATCATGGTTTAAATGAGAATGACCCCCTAATAATACAGGCACCCTCCCACCTCTACCACCAAGGTTCACGTTTGAATGCTTGGTGCCAGTTGGTAAACTGTTTGAAAAGGATTAGGACTGAGGCTTTGTTGGAGGATGTATGTCACTGGGGATGGGTTGTAAAGTTTCAAAGGACTATTACCATTCTCAGTTGGTTCTATCTGTCTTGTGCTCCTTTTATATACTGAAATGTGAGCTCCAGTGTCATGCCTACCTGCCTGCTAGCTGCCATGTTTCCCACAATGATAGTCATAGACTCTACCCTCTAGTACCATGAGCCCTAAATTGAACTCCCTTTTTAAGCTGCCTTGGTCATGATGTCTTATAGCTACAAAAAGTAACTAAGACAAGAAGATAACCGTCCTGATTACAATTAACTGTCAACCTTTAAGAGCCTAGACTCACTTGTAGAGTGTCTCAGTCGGGTAATTATCTTTATCAGGTTGGTCTGTGAATATCTGTGAAGGGCTGTATTGATTGTTAGCAGATGTTGAAGAGCTTAGCCCACTGTGGGAAGAACCATTCCCTGAGCAGGTAGTCCTGGGCAGTTTAAACAAATTAGTAGAGCATGAGCCTATGCCAGTGAGAGAATAAGCCAGGAAGCATCACTCCTCCATGGCTTCTGTTTCCTTGATGTCCCTCAATGATGAACTGTGACCTGGAGGTATAAACCAAAAAATCGTTTCCTCCCCTTAGCTACTGTTCTGACAGCATCAGAAAGAAACGAAAACGTGCTGAGCATAGTGACCTAGGTTTATAATTCCCATGCTAGATAGACAGCGAAAGATATCCAGGCTGGCCTGGGTTGGCCAGCCCAGTCTACCGGACAAGTCCCAGGACAGTGAAAGATCTTTAATAAAAACAAGTGGGCATCAACTGACACATGACACCAAAGGTCTCAGGCATACACAAACAAATACATGCATCTACATCTACATACACATGTGTACCAATACATACACAAACATGCACACAGGTACACAAACAGCATAAAATTAACTAGCAGTGTAATCAGAAAAAGAATTTTATAAAAAATAATATGGAATAATATGTTAATTGAAATCAAGAATCTAATTTATGTAAATGTACGTTTTATACCATTTTAATAATAGCTTTTGTTACCTCCTCTTTTAGTGCATGTTTCTTCTGCTCCAAACAAATCTCTTTAGCTCTCATCATCTGCAAAGTCTCTTTAGAAACTGCATATTGGAGTTTTTCCATGCGTTCAGCTGCCGCTGCCCATGATGCTTTGCCAAATTTCTTCTGATCTGCTCGCATCCGATCATACACAGCTGTGAATAGTAATTTCGTAATATTAAGCAACAAAATTACTAGATACTAAAGAAGTCTAAATTCAATCTACGAGTTTCACTGGCCCCCACAATAAATCACACTTAACATATCTAAAACATAGTCCAATAATATCATGCATTCTCTGTTATCTTAGGTGGCGGTACATGCTTTTAATCCCAGCACTCAACAGGCCAGCCTGGACTATACAGTGAATTCCTGAACAGCTAGAGCTACATAGTGAGACACTATCTCAAACAAAACAAATCAAAACAAAACAAAGAAACAAACTTCAACATAGGAGGTGGAGATGGCTGAGGAAATAAGTATATCTACTGCTCTTGCAGAGGAGCTGGGTTTGGGTCCCAACATCCACAATCAGTTCACAAGCACCTATAACAAGTTCCAGAGAATCAGATGTCCTCTTCTGGCTTCCTTGGGATTCTGTACACATGTGGTACACATAAACTCACAGACTCACATAATATAGATAAATTTAAAATATGTATAAACCTTAAGTCTGAGTTACATAGTGAGTTAGTTACAGAGCAGCCAGAGCCACATAGAGAGGCCCTATCTCAAAAAACAACAACAAAGAAATGTTAATCAACAAAAATAACATTTAGGAATAGGGGTGAACATGATCAAAACACACACAAACACATATACATAGCATATATTAGTTGAAATCTAAGCCCTAAATATTCAAAACATTCAATTCAATTCCAGGATTTATCACTGAATACTCTGGTAATGTGATAGCCAAATACAGAAGGAACCACATGCCAGTTAAGCTCTCACCCAAATGGTGAAGATGGAACCATCAGCTCTAAAAAACAGCACAGCCTTCTATTTCCCCAGAAAGAAAGAGCTTCTTAGTTTGTAATAACACAGGACTGGATCAAATGCTAACCTTTGATAGACAGCTAATTTAAAAAAAAGCAGAACTGGAGAGATGGCTCAATGATTATGAACTCCTACTACTCTTCCAGAGGAGCCCAGGTCAATTAGCAACACCCACATTGGACAACTCAGAAAGACATAAACCACCAGCATAAGCCTTGGCCCTTCATGAACACCTATACTCAAAAGCATGTAACACAGACACAAGTATATAAATAACAAAATAAACTCTTAAAAAAAAACAAACAAGCATATCGCTGGTAGAAGCATTGACAGTGATGTCTCCTAAAACCTGTACCTTAAAGAACTCTAATAAATCTTTTGGGTAGGTGTTTTGTCTGCATGTGTCTGTGCAACCCATATGTGCTTGGTACTAACGGAGGCCAGAAAAGGGCATCAGATTCTCTGGAACTGGAGTTAACAGAGAGTTGTGAGCCACCAAGTGGTTGCTTGGAATTGATCCAGGTTCTTCGGAAGAGCAGCCACTGCTCTTAACTGCTGTACCCCAGAACTCTTTTCTTTAAAAAGAAATAAACTCAAAATAATTTATGTACATCTTAAAAAGTATTGTTAGATCTAGGCGGTGGTGCACGCCTGGCACTCCAGAGGCAAAGGCAGGCGGTTCTCTGTGAGTTCGAGGCCATCCTCATGTACAGAGTGAGTTTCAGTACAGCTAAACTCACTGAGACAATAAACTAAACTGGGACAGAGAAACCCTGTCTCAGAAAATAAAAAAAGTAACTATAAGTCAGTTCCTTATGCTTATGTCCTCCACTCCTATGCTGATGCTCAAATACAACCACTCTGCTGCTTACTTCAAAAATATTGCTATTTCGTGACTTATAGTCCTTAAAAATCAGCTATGTTCCTGTCTGACAGATAAGGAATGTGCTCCTTAGAAGCTGTGCTCCCTTTTCTTGGTCTCTCTAAGCTTTGTTGCTATAGTTGCTGTTGTTCTTGGTAGTTCTTAAATGAATGAAGGAATAGCTTCTTCTGAAAGTACCTCTTGGCTTCAAAAACTGAATTTTTGCCAAACCTTGCAAGCACGTTAATAACATGCCATAAGCTATTTCCCTACTGCGCACTAGCCTGTTGATAACTTGCCTGTAAGAACACACTGCAGCCACCTTTACTATTCCTTCCATTTTCCATGTAATCACACTGTACAATGAGCTAAATGTACAGCTTTGGTCTTCAACTATATACAGTTCTATGCCCTGACCCAGAATGATATATGTGTGTGTTGTGATACTTATTTGCTAAAAGCTGTCAACAGGTTGAAAGCAATATTAAAGAAAATAAATATCCACCATAAATGCTGGAAGCAACATATGGACATAGGAAGATAACATGTTTGCAGTTTTGAATACTATCTTGGGTCAGCTTGGATCAGTAAAATAACTCTTGTAAAACTCAAGTATATTTTCTGTGCTGTTCAATATATACAAAGAAAAATCCTTTGTTAGGGAAAGACAACAGGCAACAGACCACAGACTGCAAATGAACAGAAGACACAAGCAGACAAAATCAAAGTTTGTGCTCACTCAGTCTAAACTACAAAAGGGAAAATCTTTTTTAATACGTAATATGACATCAACCACCAATACGATTATACTAACAAAAGGAGCTAAAGTTTTCAACTCAGCATCCTTTAAACCTCAATTTTACGGTCCCAAACAAAATATCCCATTGTCTGTTTTATATAAAATATATTTCTGCCACTGTAAAATCTGACCATCTCTTAAATTTGTATTCAAATAGTAATGCAACTGTAAGATCAATAGAGTGTGCTACAGGAGGAAATGTCTGATTTTAAATGATACATTTTAAAGTCAAGTCTGCGGTTTAGTTTAGTAAAAACTGTACTTGTGTGCATATAGATGGTTAATTGTTTCGATTGTGTTTCTCCATTAATTTGGCTTTATCCAAGATTAAATGATCTTACATGTCTGTTTCTGTACTTGTAAGAGGGCATACTTTAGTATGTCCCCAGACCTTAGTACAACTAACTCCATGATAGAAGAAAAATTCAGGCCGTAAAACTCAGCACAGCACCATGTGTCAAAATAAAAACATAAACCTAATCCATCAAAGTTCACAGTTCCGGGAAAGTCTTTAACTGTACTAACTTTGCTTTTTGGCTTCTATAGTTCTACTTATACTGTTTAGAAACTGAAATATGTCAACCCAGAACATAGGTTTTGTGATTAAAAGCTCACCCTGCCAAAGGCTTGGTGATACACTGGGATCCCAAACAACCAGTGCAGTCAAGAGCCGCTAATAAAAACTTAAATCCATGTCCAAGTAGGGTTCTTTCGTGACTAGCCCAGAATAGTTCCCTCTGGTTTTCTCTGATGTACAGAATGGGTATGGTACACATTGTGCCTCGTTGCTGAAAGGACACCTTGCCTTTCCAATAGTGGTTACTCTCTGCTAGTGTATGGCATACTTTCCCAACTCTACTATATAATTATTCTAAACATAAAAAACTTAACTGCTCATCTTCAAAAGTGCCTAAGGAGTCTTACCAAAAAGCTTACCTTTCTGAGCTTTAGCTGTTATTTCAAAATACTTGACAGTGAGATCCTGAATAGACAACACAGCCATATGAGCTTTCCGCTGCCAGTCAGCATCTTCTTTTTGTAGACTCTCAATTCTTCGTGGTCCCAAATAATCATTCTCCATGGAAATCTTCAGAGAGAAAAGGTGGAAATCTTTTACTCATTCCTCAAACATTTAATGAGTGTTATGTACCAGATATTAATCAGGCTTAGTGGTAAAGTAATAAACACTACTTGTAAGCTGAATGACTTATGGTGCGGGAGGTATGTGACATAGGAATCTGCCCTCTTCCATTCTTCCCTTTCTGATTTCTTCCATCCTCCCATTCCCTTCTATATACATGAAAACAATACACAGCAAAGCAATTGGTCATTTCTGAGTGTTGAGATAATAAGCAATTTATTTTCTTGCTTACAATAGTTATATTTTAGGTTAACAATGATTTGTGCAGTGGTTATATTTAAATTCCATTAAATATTACAACACATATTTTAAGATTGATGCCCATGTGCATACTAAAAATACTCTAAGCAAATTTTCTTTTATTTACTGTTTTCCTGTTTTTAGGAAGCTAAGTTCTGACATATCCCAAGCAAGTGCTCTATCCCTTTTAGATTAAAAATAAACTAGCTATGTATTACAAAAGTCACCAAGAAGCGGGACATGGTGGCACATGCCTGTAATCACAGCACTCAGGGAGGCAGAAGGAGGCAGACCTCTGTGAGCTCAAGGCCAGCCTGGTGTACAAAGCCAAGGCTACACAGAGAAACACTGTCTCGAAAACACAAAACAAAAACCCACAAGTCACAAAGAACACAGATAAAAACAAAATTAACAGAATGGACCATGTATATATACTATCCTGCTTTATCATATGAAAAAGATTGATTTAAAACATTAAATAAGAAACATCTAAGCAGGTTGTGATGGCCCATGCCTATTACCCCAGCTCTTGGAAGGCTGAAGCATGAGGGGAAGAGTGTTAGTTACACATTAAGGATAATAAAAACAGGAGTCAGGGTGTTGGCACATGCCTTTAATCCCAGCACTCAGGAGGCAGAGATCAGGCCAGGGCAAGCTTCAGGACAGACATGGCTACATAGAGAACCCATCTCCAAAAAAAAAAAAAAAAAAAAAAAAGGGTGGGGGAGGGGGTAGAGAGATAGCTCAGTAGTTAAGTATAAAAAAAAAAAAACAAGAAACAGATAACATGATAATCTAAAACTAAAATAATTTTAATCACCTAGAATTTAACATCCTTAATTTAAGGAGGAATGGGAGTTTAAAAAAGAAAAGACATAGAATTTAGTTTTATATGTGTTAATTTTGCAAAGATCATGGCCAAATACATAAGTCTGGGGATCAGTAACACAATGAAAGCATTTATAAAACCGTAAGGGTAAGTGAAATCATCTAAAGAATACACACACACAACAATGAATGTTCAGTAGAAAAAAGTACCCAGCAGCAAGAGATTCTACAAGAAACAGCTGAGATAGAGAAGTTCAAGAAGAAAATATCTTTAAGGAGTTAGTAACCACTAGAGCTGTTCACACTGAGTTGGCTAAAATAAAGAGGGATATCAAACATGTAATGAAAAAGCTGTGTATACGACCCAGTTGTAAAATTCAGTTTTTTGCTATAATGAATGTTCACAAAGCTTCTCTCACAAAATTATGCTATAACAGTAGGTGGATACAGGTAAAAATTACAGATAAAATAAATTTCAATTACATAATAGACTTCCAGAGAAATAAAAGCAAAGTATGTAAAATGTACTATTGATGCCAGTGGCAGACTTTTGATCAGACATTTTCTCCCTGTTCAATAACTGCATTTTCAAAGGGCCAGGGATATAAGTCAGTGGTAGAGCTCTTGCCTACACGAGCAAGACCCAGCACCATAAAAAATAAACAACAACAAAAACTTCTGCAGTTTCTGCCAGGCAGGGTGGTTCATGCCACAACTGTTACTCCAACACTCAGACAGCTGAGAGAGGCAAGTTGTGAATTTTAGGTCAGCCTCATCTACCAAAAGGAAAGAAAACTGAGAAGAGAGAAGAGTGAAGAGAAAAAGAAAAAGGCCAAGAAAAGACCCTACATTTTCCACTTTCTTCACTGAATGAAATAGACTTAAAAGTGAAAAAGTGGTATTGTACATTAATCATAAAGAAGAAGACATTGTTTCATTTCTTCTTCTGGCTAACAAGCTAAGGGCACATTAACTGAGAAGTTTCCTGTTTCTGTTCAAGAAACATAGAACTCACATTTCCCTAAGGTCAAAAAAGGTAAATCGTGAGGTACCTCTCTGTGCAGTGTACACGCTGAGGAAGAAGAGGTGGCGATATGATTTGAAGCCAATGTCTCTTTATTACTAGTATAAAATAGAACTGTGTGAGTCCCATTAAGGCAGGAACAACACCCCGACTTCCTGACCTGCTGGGGTAATAAGTGTGTGCTGGCTTTAGCGTGTCTTGCTTGGCTCCTCGCATTCCCTACTCATTTATACTGAATTTGTTTTCCCCAAAAGACAATTTCTATACCCACCATTTTAGGAGTCAAATATAAGTATGTTTTGTATATTGATCATTTCTTATCTTCTTGACCTTTATTATGGCTCATATGTGAAAATATTGAGTGTATAATTTGAATAAAGAAATCAGTGTAGGGATGGCAGAGATGTTCAGCATGTGAGCGAACTTACTACTGGTCTTGCAGAGGTCCTGGTCTGATCCCAGCCATCTATATAGTTGGCAATCATCCATAACTACAGTCCCAGGGGATCAATGCCCTCTTCTGACCTCCATGGGCACCAGGCATTGACATGGTGCATATACATATATGTGAGCAAACATTCATACATATAAAATACAATAAAAAATACACAGGAGGGAAGGGCAACACACCACTGTACTAGATGAGGTGAGTAGGATGCAGATTTTTTTTTTGGCAAAATTAGGAGACATAGTTCTGTTACTTATAACCCACAAGATCTTTCACAAATACCTTATCAAATAAAAAATGCATTAAAATTATCATGGTGTGGCATGCCTGAAATCCTAGGTATTACTACAGAGGCATTTCTGACTCAGGCTCCCTCATCTCCAAGTTCACCCTCCTACTACCTTATAATGCTGGTTTTGGATTCTGCAAGCCCTTTTCAGATACCAGCAATTGGAAGGCAGGAGGGAGATGCCCTTCTTTCTTCTACCTGCTTACCTTTGACTCTGCTGTATCTGTAGGTACCATCCCAGATTTGCTTCTAAAAGTCAGCACTAACAGTTCCTTCCTCAGTAACAAAATCAAGTCTGTACCTTTTTCAACCCCAACCTCATAATGCAACTCTCTCTTTTTCACCAAGACAAGGCAGTACCAGCACACCAAGGGTCCTATCCTTAGAGGTCTGGAGTGGACCATCAAGGCCACTACTAGAAACATCTTTTTTATAAGCCTGAAGCTCCATGGAGTCTGCCCTCTGTGCCTAACTCAATAAATCCAGTCCCTTTCCTTTGTTATTTCACTTCTAAAAGTAGTGGCTTTTTTTTAAATAATTGCTTCCTTTGAGGTAGCTTACTTTCTTGCCTTAAGTAGCCACTTTACTTTACACTTAGTTAACAAATCTTTGTATTAGAGTGCTCACTGTTGAAATTACTAGCTTGATTTTTATCAAACTCCAGCAGATTTAACTATGGAATAGAAATTTAATAAACACGACCTAGAATGTACAAACTCAAAGCTCCTAGCTCAGAATATTAAAACAGAAATTACTTCCACCTGCATGAATAAACATTGTACCTCTGAGAAACTGACAAGAAGGAGATATACAAAAAGACTGAAATTTTGTAGTATGGCTTTTATGGGAGGTGGTTAAAAACAAAACAACACCACAATCATCTGATGATAACTTGTACACCGCTGTTAAGATTATTTTTTGTCTGCCCCAATCTTCACAAACAGAATACAAACCTGTTTTATGCAACTGCTTTTCCTCTGCTGCTTTGTAGATGACTTTTGAACTTAGGAACTATAATGCCTAATCATTTTATTGTATAAGACACTAAGCAACAATCCTCTCTTTAACTTCTCTCTTCCTAACTTGGGAAACTCGAAGACATCGCAGCAGCCTTGTTCAGCTGGACTGTGTGCTAAAAACTGTGACTGCTCTGTTTGGAATTTCAAGACTAGAGAGAAAACAGAGCCCGTTTTAACATGGAAAAAGGTGGTGTGTCAGTTTAGGTAGCCAAGAGTATAAAACTAATTTATAAATACAAGTTCTCTGGCATGGAACTCCTTATTATAAGTACATCATTGACAGGAGTGTGCATTTTTTAAAAAACTTACTATTGTATTTCTGTGTGTTGTTAAGATATTGGGAGAACATGACTAAAGATTCTTTGATGAAGCAAATGCTGTGTTGGCAGTAAAAAGGCTGAGGATGCCACTCAATGGCATACATCTTGTAAAAGGTTAGTATCCAAATAGAAGACAATTTAAAAAACAGGTAAAGGGCCTAAGCAGGTAAGACGTATGGCTAATTGGTGTATGAAAATTGTTCTATAGCACTAATTATTAGAAGAAGTAAGTCAAACTCACAATGAGGTATTATCTTCACTTTTATTTAAATGGATATTATCAAAGACAAAAGATCACAAATATTGAAAAGGAGGTAAAGAAAGGAGCCTAATCTGGCTTTGAACTTGAACAGTCCGAATGCCTAAAAAAGTACACAGGACAGCAGTATCAGTAAGCCAATTCATAAATCTGTGTTGGCATCTGCCTCAAAGGCTCTTTATTTTCTCTCAAGATCTTAATGCACAGAAATAAATACAAAACGCAATATCCTAAATGATGTTCTTATAATAAGGTGTTCCATGTTAGTTTTACGGTAGCTCCCCCAACAATCAGAAACAGACCATATATTCTTCCGGATATACGAGCAAAGGACTTGCCAGTATGCTGAGATATGTGTGTTCCAATGTTAACTCAGCATTATCACAATAGTAAAGAGACAGAATGAATGTCCATGTCCTACAGACACACATAAAAATGTCATTCAGCAGGGGTGAAGAGATGACTCAGAGGTTAAGAACACTGGCTGCTCTTCTAGAGGTCCTGAGTTCAATTCCCAGC